AGTAAAATTACCAACAATACTACTTTAAAACAAAATGACAAGCAACACATTTTATATTAAGATATACCAACCATACATTTTATCGTAGAATTACCCAAAATACATTTTATAACAAAATGGCCAATAATTTTATTTGTAGTTGAAGGCATACAATTGCGTTCAAATATATTTAGTTGAAGCCATAAAATTGTGTTCAATATATTTAGATTTCGGCATTAAATATCCCAGAGATGTTGATATGCCGCTAAAAAATCAACTAAGCAACTATTTATGTTTAGTTAGTGTTGAAACTTGGATAAGCATGGAATAATAATAATACAACACAAAATGTACGTAAACAAAATGTATTGAAACAAGGAAAAGGTACACAATATTTACAGTTAGTTTTGGTATATTCTTGGGAAGACTGTTCCTGCAGAATGGGTTGACTTAATCGCAGTCGGGCAGAGTCTCTCGATTCGATCTCTTCTTACTATCTCTTTTTTTCCGTCTTCCGGTACCAACCCATATTTATATGGTCGGTACTCCACTTATGTAAATTAGGTGTATCGTACCACAACAGTTAGTTGCCTGTCTCGTATTTGAGTTAAATATTTACTTATTATCAGAAGCCGGTGTTCGTGTCCAAGCAAGGAGGCTAGGTTTCAAATGCTGATTTTCTAAGCAGACATACTCCTTCTACTTGAAACATTGGCATAATACATTCTTCTTATCCTCTTTCCTATACCTTATTCCTTGCTAAATTAAGTTTAGCAAATATCGACATGCCCAAGGACCTAAGGTTTGAAATGGCATCATGATATTTTCCACTAAAAAAAAAAATTACTTCGTAAGGTGTAGGCTGTACTCGTGAGAACAACTTTTTGTATTTCTTTAAGACATGGGCTTCCAGGAATCCCTTAAATGAGTCTACTGGAATCTTTTCCAACCAATCTGAGGGCACCGACTGCAACGGGGATTGTTGATGTGAGATTTCGATTTCAAGCTCCTTGTATTTGGATAGCTTTTTGAAGATCTTCAAAGATACATTGCAGTCTGCAGGGACTGTCATATCAATAAGGAAGCCATTTTTTTTGTTTGCGGTCTCTAATAACAATGTCTGGGCGGTTGACTTTGATTATTCTGTGTGTATTGTGTAGTCCCATAAAATTGTAACAGGACCTATCTCCGTAACCGGGTCTGGGTGGTGTTCATACCAATTTCTTTTAGTTTCCTTCCCGTAGAAGTTACAGATTTTCCAGTGCAGATATTGGCCAACTCTGTCATGCCGGGTTTTATATTCAGTGGGTGCCAATACCGTGCAACAACGTACAAGATGATCAATTGTTTCTAGATATTTATCACAGAATCTGCATTTTGGGCTAACACAATTTTTTAGTATGTGTGCTTGATAATTTCTAGTTAACAAGCAATGGTCCTGTGCAGCAAGGATAAAACGTTCCGTTTCAGCTTTTAACCCTGCACTACGTAGCCACTGATGGGTACGGAGTTTGTCTACATCAGCTTGTTTGGTACGGCCAGAGTATTGACCATAAAGCGGTTTATCTTGCCATTGTTTCTGTATCTGATCGATTATTATTATTATTATTATTATTATTATTATTATTATTATTATTATTATCTGAATGTGTCATTGTATTATTATTGTGTAGATGGTTTGAAAACCAGAGAAGATACTGCCGGTCAATTCACAAAAAGGACCTCAGACAGACAATACTTTTCGAGGTGGATTTATTATACCCAATAAGGCAGATTTCTGTAGCATACGTAAAGTGTATTTTACACCAAACTGGTCGACATATTCATTAAACGACAATGAAACGGAGCCAAGTGCTGAAATCACTACCGGGAGGACTAATATATTTCTCCAGCATCTTCAACATTCTGGCATTCTAAAACCTTCAGTTCAAAGGAGTTGCCGATCTTTTTCTATTTGCTTCGCTGTTATATTGTAGTCAGAAGGTTTTGACCGCATCAATTATTTGAAGTTCATTTTTCAGTTGTGACGACTATATCTGATTTCCGGTGTTCAATAACTTGACCTGTTAGAATGTCCCAGACTATCTTTGACTTGCTTTCACTTTTCATTACTCCCAGTCGTACTTGGTCGTACTATTTCTCGGACTTATTATTTATTTATTTAGCATATAAAAGTAAACACGTGTAGTATTTTGCATCAGGGAACATCTAAATGAGTGAATCTTTAGTCTACTATATATATATATATATATATATATATATATATATATATATATATATATAAGAAATGGACAAAGTCCGACAATTTATTTATTAAAGACATTTTTATGTTTAACGTTCTTTTTATTTATACAAAGATATTTATAGAAAATGCTCTGTTTATTGAACAGTATTAAATGACGGTTCCGTATAGATGCAGGTTCGAATGGACGAATATTTTCATAGAAAATATTCGTCCGGTAAATGTTATTTAATACTGTTTATTATAGGATGCATTTACTTAAATACTTGTATCTATAAAAAAGAACGTTAAACATAAAAATGTTCTTTAATGAAATATATATATATATATATATATATATATATATATATATATATATATATGTATGTATACATTATGAGCTTTGATATAGCGAAACAGTTTGTCTGTGGATGACAATATATATGTTCCTGAAAAATGTATTTCGGTTGAGCACTCTGGAGAGGAAGTGTGGGTTTGTAAACAGTGACTATTACAGTTAATAATGCAAGACTCTTCGTTATATCGAATTGAGTTCTCTCAGTCACTGTGTATTTATCTAAAAATAAATACGCTTAAATTCACCTTCATCCCTGCCGTGCGACAACGGCTTAGTGGTAAAATCACCGACTGACGCAGATTCGATCCTAGCTAGAGGTAACCGGACGTTTAGCCACACTGATGAGCTGTGATACAGCGAAATAGTCTTTCTGTGGATGACAATATATATCTATATATATATATATATGTGTGTGTGTGTGTGTGTGGAAGAATTGAAAGTTTTAGTTCTGCACAAATCTCGTTATATAAGGAATATAATTCTAGGCTTCAAAAATTCATCTGATGTTTATAAATTAATATACAATATGTATTATGCATATAGGTTCAGAAAAAAATATTATATAAATGTCTTACTTTCACTGTGTAGGTTTAGAAAAGATTTTTGGTAGTTTTGAAATGTTTATCGAATTAAAACTATCAAACTTTTGTAACGCTACACAGTGAAAACGGAAAAGTATTTATATATTTTTTTTTCTGAACCTATAGACATCATACATTATTGCATGTAAGTATATAAAACATCAGGAGTCTTTTCAATTTTTATTTTTGCACTCTCTCTCTCTCATCTCTCCCTCTCTCTTTATATATATATATATATATATATATATATATATATATATATATATATATATAAAAAGTAAATTGGCGAAAGAAAGAAAAAAAGATTTGAAGAGAAGAGGAAAATTAAAATTGAGTGAAATAAAATAAAGAAAGAAAGAAAGAAAAGAAGAAAGAAAGAAAATGATTTGAGAAGAGGAAATTCAAAGTGCGTAAAATAAATAAAGAAAGAAACAAAAAGTATTTGAGGCGATGAGGAAATTCAACGTGAGTAATACAAAGAAAGAAAAGGATGTGAGAAGAGGAGATTCAAAATGATCAAAAGAAAGAAAGAAAGAAAGAAAGAAAGAAAGAAAGAAAAGGATGTGAGGAGAAGAGGAGATTCAAAATGATCAAAAGGAAAAAAAGAAAGAAAGAAAGAAAGAAAAGGATGTGAGGAGAAGAGGAGATTCAAAGTGAGTAAAATAAATAACTATCCAAAGCCAGAAAGAAATTTGCAAAATTGAAAGAAATATAATGGAAATTAATACGAACAAGCAAGAGAAAGTAAATGAACCAATTGAAGTGAATAAAAAAATATGTGAATGGCTAAATAATTTGTGGTGTGCAGAAAAGCGGAAGGAGATGTTTTTGTAATTAGACAGAATGAAAGAAAAAGAAAAAAAAAAAAAGAAATTCTTCAAATTCTTCAGTATTAAAAAAATGACGAGGGTAATAATGTACCCAAACACTAACAGTAACTGGAATAGAAAGAAAGAAAGAAAGAAAGAAAGAAAGAAAGAAATAAAGAAAGAGAGAAACAAACAAACAAACAAACTACAAATATCAGACAAGGAAAAAGAAGGGATAAATAAAAGAATTAAAGAAAAAAATAAGAGACAAGGAGAAAGAATTGATAAATAAAAGAAAAGAAACAAACAAACAAAAACACAAACAAACAACAAATAACAGACAAGGAAGAATAACGGATAAATAAAAGAAAGAAAGAAAGAAAGAAAGAAAGAAAGAAAGAAAGAAACAAACAAACAAACTGATACCGGCATTTTAAGAATGAATAAAAAAAAACGCTTTCTGGGTAAGCAAACGCTGTCCCATTCTCTTAACCTGATTGGTATACGATGAATTACGTCATCAAGGGCAATGGTTACATTCCCCAACAAAATAATTCCTCTCCTACAATTTGTTTTTAACGTCTTCCCTCACTCTCATTCCACCTTGCTTTATTCACCTCCTCCTTAAATCCCCCTTTAACATCAATCTTCACCACATTCCGCCCCTCCTCCTCCTCCTCCTCTCTTAAAAAGCACTCAAGCGACTCCTGTAAAGGTTGTGTGATTAAAGCTATTGATCGTATTAATAACATTTGACCAATCAGAACTTTTTTTGTTTGTCGCCGCCCACTCTTCCTCTCCCTGCAACCATTCTGGCTCCCCCGTGCTTTACCATGTAATTCGGAATTATTTTAATAATACTGATTGTTCCTTTCGGCCTTTCCTTCTTCTGTCACCCCCCTCTTCTCCTTGCCCCTTACCTTTTTCTCTTACTGTTGGTACTTTGATGTCCACCGCCTGTATGGGAACCACGACATCTTGTTACTTGGTTGAGCCTCTGTAACTTGCTCCCTGGCCGGAGGCCTGTAAGCATTCTGTCTATGTTGAGCGGATTAGGGAGTGAGAAAAGGGAAGGGAAGAAGACAGGAATCAGTGGTAGAGGGAGTAGGAAAAACATAGGTACAGAGGAAAGATAGAAAGTAAAAAATACGTGAGTTAAGATTAAAAGGGAGTACTGATGCGAGTAAAAGAAGGGAGTGAGAGAGAGTGAGAGTGAGAGAGAGAGAGAGAGAGAGAGAGAGAGAGGGACTGTAGAAACTATTGAAACCGATGAAGATAGATAGATAGATAGATAGATAGATAGATAGATAGATAGATAGATAGATAATGAACAGACAGGTAGAAAGCAAGCTTGCCTACTATACGTATGAACAGATAGCGATAGACAGATTCAGATAGATAGATAGATAGATAGATAGATAGATAGATAGATAGATATGAGCAAAAAGATAGCTAGCTAGCTAGGTAGATAGAGAAATAGACAGATAATAAACAGAGATAGATTGATAGATAGATAGATAGATAGATAATGAACAGACTGATATATATATATATATATATATATATATATATAGATAGATAGATAGATAGATAGATAGATAGATAGATAGATAGATAGATATGAGCAGAAAGATAGATATGAGCAAAAAGATAGCTAGCTAGGTAGATAGAGAGATAGACAGATAATAAACAGAGATAGATAGATAGATAGATAGATAGATAGATAGATAGATAGATAGATAGATAGATAATGAGCAGACTGAGATAGCTAGCTACCTAGATAGATAGATAAGTACCTAGGGTATAGTAAGTATAGTACATACTCTGAGCACCCTAGGAAGGCGGTATCACTTGTAGTTGGGTAACTCTGTGATCTCACTCTGTTCAGTGTGGAGAGAGGATAAACTGTAAAAATACATTGATCATATCACCGACCAATTTGCATGAATGAAAGTAAAGAAAGTCCAGTTATAATCATCATGTTGTTCTATGATTCCCATTCTTCGGTTGTAATTTTCATTGGTTAAAAGCTCAACGCGCTCAACTTATATCTTTGAAGTGATCTTATCTAAAAATTATCTAATAGAATAATTATATCACTTTGACAATAACGCAATTTTAGTGCTTGCCACAGGTATTATTTTCCTTTGTTACGGTCCTTTATTCAGGCAAACACTGCTTTACCTGACTTCAGTTAGCACAAAAAATCACTAGCCACAAGCGACGACTATTTCCTGGTTTACACATGCGATATTCAGTTACCGCAAGATATGAAACTCGCGTTCAGTTATCGCGAGACCTGACGTATCTACACGTGTTTATTAACTGTCTCTCTTCTTTGTTGTTTAGTTAAACCGACCTGGCCTGGTCACAAAACTGAAGATTGGAATTAGTTTTTGGAGACGTTAAGGTCTTTGGATAGTGGAAGTAATTCTTTAAAAGTTCCGTTCAAAATTTTGAAATAAACAAATTTAATGTACACTACTTTTTATCGCAGACATCTTTTAAAATTTTCCACACTACCGCCTCTTTCCTCATAGACGTAACGTCGTAAGCCTTTCGCTCCTCAATCGCTACTAGTTGATTGTTTGATTGATATGTTTAACGGCATATTAACTCCTTATTGGTCATTTAATGCCGAAATTTAATTTTTTTTTTGGGAGCTTTGAAGTAAAATTAAAAATTCATAGAACATTATATGGATTAATGATGTTATTTAATGTTCTTACATGTTATTTAATCAGCAAATCTAAATATTTTCAATTACAGATATATTTGTATATATATATATATATATATATATATATATATATTATATTGTATATATTGTATATTGTTTTATATTGTTGGTAATTCTACTAATAAATAGGTATTGTTGGTAATTCTACTAATAAATAGGTATTGTTGATAATTCTACTAATAAATAAGAATTGTTGGAAATTCTACTAATAATTAGGTATTGTTGGTAATTCTACTAATGAATAGGTATTGTTGGTAATTCTACTAATAAATAAGTATTGCTGGTAATTCTACTAATAATTAGGTATTGTTGGTAATTCTACTAATAAATAGGTATTGCTGGTAATTCTACTAATGCATATGTATTGTTGGTAATTCTACTAATAAATAGGTATTGTTGGTAATTCTACTAATAATTAGGTATTGTTGGTAATTCTACTAATAAATAGGTATTGCTGGTAATTCTACTAATAATTTGGCATTGTTGGTAATTCTACTATAAACAAGTATTGTTAGTATTTTTGTATATAAAAATGTATTCTGGATATTTTTACTATAAAAATGTATCATAGGGTTTTGTTTTAGTTTGGAGGTTCGCTATTTACCTATAGCTGAGAGTCTAACAGGTACTACCACCCTGAGTTAGGGTGAATCTGGGAACAACAGCAATTAAGAGGTGTTTTCACGCTCCACAAAACCACCAATGTCCGGACAATAGGCCTTGTTGTCGGATGTAGTTTATCGTCACAACCAGGACTCTACTTCCGTGGCAAATGTTCAGGTGAGCTCCATTCTTTAGCGCCCCAAGCTCAGTCTTTTCAGCCAAAATCATTCTACTGGATGCAATCATCCTTATTCACTATGCATTCCTTTGGTAAGGAGGGCGTTTCACTTTGGAAGATTCTTGTCAAGAACCGCTGCTTTTACGAAACAGACTCCCACGTGGATACTTTCCAGAACACTACAACCTTCAAGTCTCAGAAAGAAATTTGCAAAATTGAAAGAAATAAAATGGAAATTAATAAGAACGAGAAAGAAAAAGTAAATGAACAAATTGAAGCGAATAAAAAATATGTGAATGGCTAAATAATTTGTGGTGTGCATAAAAGCGAAAGAAGATGCTTTTGTAATTAGATAGAATGAAAGAAAAAGAAAAAAAAGAAAAAAGAAATTCTTCAAATTCTTCAGTATTAAAAAAATGACGAGGGTAATAATGTATCCAAACACTAACAACAGTAACTGGAATCAAAAAAAGAAAGAAAGAAAGAAAAAAACAACAAACAAAAACACAAACAAACAACGAATAACAGACAAGGAAGAATAAGGATAAATAAAAGAAAGAAAGAAAGAAAGAAAGAAGAAAGAAAGAAAAGAAAAGAAAGAAAGAAAGAAAAGAAATTGATGCCGGCATTTTAATCTCCAAAAAAAAAACGCTTTCTGGATAAGCAAACGCCTCCCATTACCTTGATCTACCCACTATCCTTCTCCTCATTCACTCTTCCTATCCCTCCCTATCTCTCTCCTCCAAATCTTCCGCAACCTCACCATCTAGTGGCTTCACGCCTTGCTCAAGAAGCGTAATGCTTAAAAAAAAAAAAAACTTTTTCTTTAAAAATCTTTCTACCTGGCCATGCCTCAACAATTAAATGAGCAATTAAATATCTGGAAGGTGGGGGGTCTAAGATTATTTTTGCCATTTTAAAATATTTTACTAAATAAAATTACATTGCTTACCCAAGATACCTTAAAAAAAAAAAAAAAAAAATAATGAATTTAAAAATGTTTTCTAGTAAATTAATTTTTCCTCATTTATACTGTTTAATTACACCCTGTTTGATTTTACATGCACCTCAACTCTCTCTCTCTCTCTATCTCTCTCTCTATATATACATATATATATATATATATATATATATATCATATTGCCATCCACCCGAGACAGTTTTGCCCATAGCTGGATCCTAACAGTCAAAGACTTTACCCTAGAGCCATTGGGATGAAAAGTGAATTTATATATATATATATATGTGTGTGTGTGTCCTTTGTAACATCCTGATCAAAATATATGAAATATATATATATATATATATATATATATATATATATATATATATATATATATCTGTGCAGTTAAGTAATTATTGTAACGTGCGTAACTATATACAAGGAAGGACAGATGCCAAAACCTTATTTCACTGCTCATACTAAACGCAATCGACAGGCAATAATATACACCCAGATGCTAAAAATCTGTTCATAAATAAATTTAATCAACAGGACTCAAATGCTTTTTGTTTTGCTCGGTTATTCAAATACGAGTTCAGTGAGGACATCTCGACGTGGTGTAATCTTTTGTAAGTTTGTTTCGCTAGGGACAATTACGACTGAGTTGTTGGTTCGATACTCACTGTATGCCCCCTTCGTTCGGCCTTTTCTCAAAATCTCTTTTTGGGACAGGTTAAAGGCGCATTGTTTCTTGTCTATTGTATTTGTATTTCATTTTGGGTAATTTCTCATTGTCTTATTTTAATGGTTATATTGTGTTATGTGATAAATCATAACTTTAATTTTTCTAGTGCTTACTAGTCGGAATAATTGTAATCAGAATTTTATCATATATATATACATAGATTACATACATATATGTACATTTGTTTGAGAAGTTTATTTAAAATCCGTAACAAACATCTTGGTGAAATATTTGTATGGTAGATTTTAAAAAATAATACAGACAGACGGAAAAAATAAAATATATATTCAAGCCCGGATGTAAAGAGTTGTCGTGACCGGAGAAGATATTTATATCAGGGTTTCTCGATATCCGGGTTTGGTCTAATTGATATAAGAAAAATCCAGATATAAAAGAGATTTTTCTGGTTCCAAATTAGAGCCTGTGTTAATGAAATAAAATAAACCCGACCAAACCCGGATATAAGAGACTTCTTCTCGGTCCCGATAACTCTTTATATCCGGGTTACACCTAAACATTAACACAGGCTGATTAATTTGGGATTTTAGAGAAATATCTTATCCGCTGTTTCTTTATATCCGGGTTAAATATGTGTGTTTATCATATACAGACAGAAAGACGGACAGATAGAATAGATAGTGTCATTTCAAGAATGTTCAAGCGCCTATAAAAGATGATGTCCCCCGATGATTTAACAAAGGCTGATAACATTTTGCCATGTATTCTAGATCAAATCAAACGAAATAAATATATATATATATATATCTATATTTGATAAGCATCGTTTAGTCTAGCACCAAAAATGCACGATGATGGAGCACTCAATGAAATTTCTCACTACGGTAGTAAAGACAATAAACATATGTGTCATCCCAATTCAAATTTGGCGTTCAGATCTACCTTTTTCACACCTTAAATCTATAATTTAGTCTGGCATTGGACACATGTTAGAGCAATTAGTGAGGATCTCCTTCTATAATACTATTGACAAAATACAAAGTCAGTCCTGGATATGATGTAGATAAACTAAAAGCCATCTACAAGACCTTTGATCAAGAGAGATGTTCTTTTTGAGAGCGTGGAACCGTCTCTAATTGGTATTGCTCCCAGCTCCACCAACCTAGGGGTTTAGCATTTTTATTGTTGTCCCAGCTATGAACAAATAATGAACCTCAAGCAAACAAAAAAAAAACACTAGAATCTCATAAAATACATTTTATATAGTAAAAATACTGAAATCATCCTTTTTTTATTTTAAAAAATTACCAGTAATTCATAATTCTATTCCTAAAATTACCAACAATACTTCTTTAAAACAAAATGACAAGCAACACATTTTATATTAAGATATACCAACCATACATTTATCGTAGAAAAAAAGAAAATAAGATTTTAAAAACAAATGGGCCAATAATTTTATTTGTATGTATAACAATACAATTTATCTAAATATATTTAGTTAAAATGATAAAATTGTGTTCAATATATTTAGGATTTCAAACTAATGCCCCATCAGATGTTGATATGCCGCTAAAAAATCAAACTCAATTACTATATTTTTTAGTTAGGTATTTTGAAACTTGATAAGCATGGAATAATAATAATAAACCAAAATGTACGTAAACAAAATGTATTTAGAAACAATAAAAATTGATAATGCTTACAAGTTTTGGTATATTCTTAGGAAGACTGTTCCTGCAGAATGGGTTGACTTAATCGCAGTCAATCAGAGCTCTCTCAGATTCGATCTCTTCTTACAATCTTTTTTTCCGTCTTTATTTTAACCCATATTTATATGGTCCATTTTCCCTTATAAATTAGGGGTATCTGTATGAAAACAGTTTTGATTGCCTGGATTGTCATTTGAGTTAAATATTTACTTATTATCAGACTAAGTTCGTTCCAAGCAAAGGAGGCTAGGTTTCAAATGCTGATTTTCTAAGCAGATCATACTCCTTCTGGTAAATATTCGCATAATACATTCTTCTTATCCTCTTTTCTATACCTTTGTTCCTTACATAATTTGACAGTTTAGCAAATAGACTGATGCCAAGGTGGCAAGGTTTGATAAATGGCCACATGGATATTTTCCACTAAAAAAATTACTGAGGATGGGATGTACTCGTGAGAACAACTTTTTGTATTTCTTTAAAACATGGGCTTCAGGAATCCTTAAATGAGTAAAAAAAATCTTTTCCAAACAGCAATCTGAGGGAAAATTTTTGCAACTTATATATTTTTTTTGTGAGATTTCGACCAAGCTCCTTGTATTTGGATAGCTTTTTTTAAGATCTTTCAAAGATACATTTGCAAAGTCTGTAGGACTGTCATATCAATAAGGAAGCCATTTTTTTTTGTTTTCTTTCTCTAATAACAATGTTGCCATCGGTTGACTTTGATTATTCTGTGTGTGTATTTGTAGTCCCATAAAATTGGGACAGGACCTATCTCCGTAACCAGTCTAGGTGGTGTTCATACCAATTTCCCTTTCCCTTCTTTCCCGTAGAAGGTGATTTTCAATTGAATATTGGCCAACTCTGTCATATTTGTTTTTTTTTTCAGTGGGTGCCAATAAAATGCAACAACGTTAAGATGATATCAATTGTTTCAGAATCTTATTATAATCTACCCAGATTACAATTTTTAGTATCTATGTTTGATATATTTCTAGTTAACAAGCAATGGTCCTGTGATTTCAGGATAAAACTTCCGTTTCAGACTTTGTAACCCCTACACATGTAGCCACTAGTGGGTACGAAATTGTTCACATCAATCTTGTTTTGGTACAAAATGACCATAAAAGCGGTTTATCTTGCCATTGTTTCTGTATCTGATCGATTATTATTATTATTATTATTATTATTATCATTATTATTATTATTATTATCTGAATGTGTCATTGTATTATTATTGTGTAGATGGTTTGAAACCAGAGAAGATACTGCCAGTCAATTCACAAAAGGACCTCAGACAGACAATACTTTTCGAGGTGGTTTATTATACCCATTAAGGCAGATTTCTGCAGTATACGTAAAGTGTGTATTTTACACCAAACTGGTCGACATATTCATTAAACGGACAACGAAACAGGAGACCCAAATGCTGAAATCACTACCGAGTGACTATAATATATTTCTCCAGCATCTTCAACATTCTGCATTCTAAAACCTTCAGTTCAAGGAGTTGTTGATCTTTTTTCTATTGCTTCGCTGTTATATTGTAGTCAGAAGGTTTTTGACCGCATCAATTATTTTAAAGTTCATTTTTCAGTTGTGACGACTATATCTGATTCCGGTGTTCAATAACTGACCTGTTAAGTATCCCAGACTATCTTTGACTTGCTTTTCACTTTTCATTACTCCCAGTCGTACTTGGTCGTACTATTTCTCAGACTTATTATTTATTTATTTAGCATATAAAAGTAAACACGTGTGTATTTTGCATCAGGGAACATCTAAATAGGTGAATCTTTAGTCTACTCATATATATATATATATATATATATATATATATATATATATATATATATAAGAAATGGACAAAGTCCGATTTATTTTAATAAAGACATTTTATGTTTAACGTTCTTTTTATAGATACAAGTATTTAAGTAAATACTCTATTTACTTATAAACAGTATTAAATAACATTCCGGCTTGAATGTCTGAAATTTTCATAGAAAAATATTCGTCCTTTGACAGCGTAAATGACGGTTTCCGTATAGGATGCAGGTTCGAATCACTGTCAAAGGACGAATATTTTCTATGAAAAATTTCTCCGACATTCAGGCCAGTAAATGTTATTTAATACTGTTTATTATAAACAGAGCATTTACTTAAATACTTGCATCTATAAAAAAGAACGCGTTATAAAATGTCTTTAATGAAATATATATATATATATATATATATATATATATATATATATATATGTATACACTTATGAGTTTGATACAGCGAAACAGTTTGTCTATGGATGACAATATATATGTTCCTGAAAATGTATTTCGTTATAGCACTCTGGAGAGGAAGTGTGGGTTTGTAAACAGTGACTATTACATTAATAATGCAAGACTCTTCGTTATATCGAATTGAGTTCTCTCAGTCACTGTGTATTTATCTAAAAATAAATACGCTTAAATTACCTTCATCCCTGCCGTGCGACAACGGCTTAGTGGTAAAATCACCGACTGACGCAGATTCGATCCTAGCTAGAGGTAACCGACGTTTAGCCACACTGATGAGCTGTGATGATAGCGAAATAGTCTTTCTGTGGATGACAATATATATCTATATATATATATATGTGTGTGTGTGTGTGTGTGGAAGAATTGAAAGTTTTAGTTCTGCACAAATCTCATTATATATGAATATAATTCTAGGCTTTAAAAATTCATCTGATGTTTATAATTAATATACAATATGTATTAGCATAGGTTCAGAAAAAATATTATATAAATATCTTGCTTTCACTGTGTAGGCTTTGAAAAAGATTTTGGTAGTTTTGAAATGTTTGTCAATTAAAACTATCAAACTTTTGTAACGCTTACAGTGAAACAAAAAAGTATTTATATTTTTTTTTTCTGAACCTATAGGACATCATACATTATTGCATGTAAGTATATAAAACATCAGGAGTCTTTCAATTTTTATTTTTGCACTCTCTCTCTCTCTCTCTCTCTCTTTATATATATATATATATATATATATATATATATATATATATATATATATATATATAAAAGTAAATTAAGGAAAGAAAGAAAAAGATTTGAAGAGAAAGGAAAATTAAAATTGAGTGAAATAAAATAAAGAAAGAAAGAAAGAAAAGAAGAAAGAAAGAAAATGATTTGAAAGAGGAAATTCAAAGTGCGTAAAATAAATAAAGAAAGAAACAAAAGTATTTGAGGCGATGAGGAAATTCAACGTGAGTAATACAAAGAAAGAAAAGGATGTGGAGAAGAGGAGATTCAAAATGACTCAAAAGAAAGAAAGAAAGAAAGAAAAAGAAAGAAAGAAAGGATGTGAGGAGAAGAGGAGATTCAAAATGATCAAAAGGAAAAAAAGAAAGAAAAGAAAAGAAAAGAAAAGGATGTGAGGAGAAGAGGAGATTCAAAGTGAGAAAATAAATAACTATCCAAAGCCAGAAAGAAATTTGCAAAATTGAAAGAAATATAATGGAACAATACGAACAAACAAGAGAAAAAGTAAAATGAACCAATTGGGTGATAAAAAAATATATGAATGTAAAATAATTTGTGGTGTGCAGAAAAGTGGAAGGAGATGTTTTTGTAATTAGACAGAATGAAAGAAAAGAAAAAAAAAAAAAAGAAATTCTTCAAATTCTTCAGTATTAAAAAAAAAATGACGAGGAAGCAATAATGTACCAAAACATAACAGTAACTGGAATAGAAAGAAAGAAAGAAAGAAAGAAAGAAAGAAAGAAAAGAAATAAAGAAAAGAGAAAACAAACAAACAAACAAACTAAGGCAAATATCAGACAAGGAAAAAAAGAAGGATAAATAAAAGAATTAAAGAAAAAAATAAGAGACAAGGAGAAAAGAATTGATAAATAAAAGAAAAGAAACAAACAAACAAAAACAAACAAACAACAAATAACAGACAAGGAAGAATAACGATAAATAAAAGAAAGAAAGAAAGAAAGAAAGAAAAGAAAGAAAGAAACAAACAAACAAACTGATACCGGCATTTTAAGAATGAATAAAAAAAACGCTTTCTGGGTAAGCAAACGCTGTCCCATTCTCTTAACCTGATTGGTATACGATGAATTACGTCATCAAGGGCAATGGTTACATTTCCCAACAAAATAATTCCCTCTCCCACAATTTGTTTTTTAACGTCTTCCCTCACTCTCATTCCACCTTGCTTTATTCACCTCCTCCTTAAATCCTTTAACATCAATCTTCACCACATTCCGCCCCTCCTCCTCCTCCTCCTCTTAAAAAGCACTCCAAGCGACTCCTGTAAAAGGTTGTGATTAAAGCTATTGATCGTATTAATAACATTTGACCAATCAGAACTTTTTTTGTTTGTCGCCGCCCACTCTTCACTCTCCCTGCAACCATTCTGGCTCCCCCGTGCTTTACCATGTAATTCGGAATTATTTTTAATAATACTGATTGTTCCTTTCGGCCTTTCCTTCTGTCACCCCTCTTCTCCTTGCCCTTTACCTTTTCTCTTACTGTTGGTACTTTGATGTCCACCGCCTGTATGGGAACCACGACATCTTGTTACTGGTTGAGCCTCTGTAATCTCCCTGGCCGGAGGCCTATGCAGCATTCTGTCTATATTGAGCGGATTAAAGGGGAGAAAAGGGAAGGGAAGACAGGAATCAGTGGTAGAGGGAGTAGGGAAAACATAGGTACAGAGGAAAGATAGAAAGTAAAAAATACGTGATTAAAGATTAAAAAAGGAGTACTGTGAGTAAAAGAAGGGAGTGAGAGTGGAGGAGAGAGAGAGAGAGAGAGAGAGAGAGAGAGAGAGAGGACTGTAGAAACTATTGAAACCGATGAAGATAGATGAATGAATGAATAGATAGATAGATAGATAGACAGATAGATAATGAACAGACAGGTAGAGAAAGCAAGCACTTACTATACGTAAGGACAGATAGCGATAGACAGATTCAGATAGATAGAGATAGATAGATAGATAGATAGATAGATAGATATGAGCAAAAAAGATAGCTAGCTAGCTAGGTAGATGAGTAATAGACAGATAATAAACAGAGATAGATTGATGATAGATGAATAGATAGATAATGAACAATGATATATATATATATATATATATATATATATAGACAGATAGATAGATAGATAGATAGATAGATAGATAGATAGATAGATATGAGCAGAAAGATAGATATGAGCAAAAAGATAGCTAGCTAGGTAGATGGAGAGATAGACAGATAATAAACAGAGATAGATAGATAGATAGATAGATAGATAGATAGATAGATAGATAGATAGATAGATAATGAGCAGACTGAGATAGCTAGCTACCTAGATAGATGAATAAGTACCTAGGGTATAAATAAGTATAGTACATACTCTGAGCACCCTAGGAAGGCGGTATCACTTGCAGTTGGGTAACTCAGTGATCTCTGCTCTGTTCAGTGTGGAGAGAGGATAAACTGTAAAAATATATTGATCATATCACCGACCAATTTGCATGAATGAGCAAAAGGAAAGTCCAGTTAGTAATCATCATGTTGTTCTATGATTCCCATTCTTCAGTTTGTAATTTTCATTGGTTAAAAAGCTCAACGCGCTCAACTTATATCTTTGAAGTGATCTTATCTAAAATTATCTAATAGAATAATTATATCACTTTGACAATAACGCAATTTTAGTACTTTTAGGTATTATTTTCTTCTTTGTTACGGTCCTTTATTCAGGCAAACACTGCTTTACCTGACTTCAGTTAGCACAAAAAATCACTAGCCAAAGCGACGACTATTTCCCGGTTTACACATGCGATATTCGTTAACAAAGATAAGTGAAACTCGCGTTCAGTTATCGCGAGACCCGACGTATCTACACGTGTTTATTAACTGTCTCTCTTCTTTGTTGTTTAGTTAAACCGAAGCCTGCTGGCCACAAAACTGAAGATTGGAATTAGTTTTTGGAGACGTTAAGGTCTTTGGATAGTGGAAGTAATTTCTTTAAAAGTTCCGTTCAAAAATTTTGAAATAAAACAAATTTAATGTACACTACTTTTATCGCAGACATCTTTTAAAATTTTCCACACTACCGCCTCTTTCCTCATAGACGTAACGTCGTGTTTCGCCCTCAATCGCTACTAGTTGATTGTTTGATTGATATGTTTAACGGCATAACTCCTTATTGGTCATTTAATGCCGAAATTTAATTTTTTTTTGGGGGGAGCTTTGAAGTAATTTAAGAATTCATAGAACATTATATGGATTAATGATGTTTATTTAATGTTCTTACATGTTATTTAATGAAATCTAAATATTTTCAATTACAGATATATTTGTATATATATATATATATATATATATATATATATATACATATTGTATATATTGTGTATATTGTTTTATATTATTGGTAATTCTACTAATAAATAGGTATTGTTGGTAATTCTACTAATAAATAGGTATTGTTGATAATTCTACTAATAAATAAAGAATTGTTGGAAATTCTACTAATAATTAGGTATTGCTTGGTAATTCTGCATCAATGTAACAGGTATTGCTGGTAATTCTACTAATAAATAAGTATTACAAAATTCCTACTAATAATTAAATTGTTGTTGGTGAATTCTACCTAATAAATAGGTATTACAGTAATTCCTACTAATGCATATGTATTGTTGGTAAATTCTACAATAAATAGGTATTGTTGGTAATTCTACTAATAATTAGGTGCTGTTGGTAATTCTACTAATAAATAGGTATTGCTGGTAATCTCTACTAATAATTTAGCATTGTTAATTCTACTATAAACAAGTATTGTTAGTATTTTTGTAAAAATGTATTCTGGATATTTTACTATAAAAAATGTATCATAGGGTTTTGCTTTTTAGTTTGAGGTTCGCTATTTACCTATAGCTGAGAGTCTAACAGGTACCTTTACCACCCTGGAGTTAGGGGTGAATCTGGGGAACAACAGCAATTAAGAGGTGTTTCACGCCCACAAAACCACCAATGTCCGGACAATAGGCCTTTGTTGTCGGATGCCAGTTTATCATCTGTACCAGGACTCTACTTCCGTCAAAATGTTCAGGTGGAAACGCATTCTTTAGCGCCCCAGCTCAGTCTTTTCAGCCAAAATCATTCTACTGGATGCAATCATCCTTATTCACTATGCATTTCCTTTGTAAGGAGGGCGTTTCGCTTGAAGATTCTTATCCAAGAACCGCTGCTTTACGAAACAGACTCCACGGATACTCTTCCAGAACACTACAACCTCAAGTCTCAGAAAGAAATTTTAAAAATTGAAAGAAATAAAATGGAAATTAATAAGAACGAGAAAGAAAAGTAAATGAACAAATTGAAGGAATAAAAATGTGAATGGCTAAAATAATTTGTAATTATTATAAAAGCGAAAAGAAGATGCTTTTAAGTAATTAGATAGAATGAAAAGAAAAAAAAAAGAAAAAAGAAATTCTTCAAATTCTTCAGTATTAAAAAAAAATGACGAGGGTAATAATGTATCCAAACACTAACAGTAACTGGAATCAAAAAAAAAGAAAGAAAGAAAGAAAGAAAGAAACAAACAAAAACACAAACAAACAACGAATAACAGACAAGGAAGAATAAGGGATAAATAAAAGAAAGAAAGAAAGAAAGAAAGAAAGAAAGAAAGAAAGAAAGAAAGAAAGAAAGAAATTGATGCCGGCATTTTAAGAATGAAAAAAAAAACGCTTTCTGGATAAGCAAACGCTGTCCCATTCTCTTAACCTGATTGGTATACGATGAATTACGTCATCAAAGGCAATAGTTTATTTCCCCAACAAAATAATTCCTCCTACGTGAATGCTTTCCAGAACACTACAACCTTCAAATCTCAGGCTTATCGTTATCTGTCCGCCAAATCGTCATAATCTTTACTTCCTCCTTTTAAGTTCATAAAAAACACCTCATTCAGTAACTCTCTAACTTGAAATTTTATTATAATACCATCATCATCAATTTTGAAAGGACCTTATAATTTTATTGTCTAAAATATTTGCCCAAAATTTTATTCCGCTTATTGTCTTCTAAGTCGTGAATGGTTCCTATGTATAAAGGACACTCTTGCCTTACCAAATTTAAAAGTGATGCCTTGTTTCTATGAAATATCATGGGAACAAGATACCACTTTTAAATTAGCGTTACAAAGTTGAATGTAGAGCTACATTGGATATATCTTTTGCCTATGCTAGTGTGTGAGTTATTCATGGAAATCTGATCCTCACAGGGCGAATAGAGAGAAAGGGGGGGCACGGGGAAAGCAACACGTGACATACCCAATGGGCTTAAGCAAGTGGATAATAGAACAGGGTCTAGAAGAAGTAGCAAAAAGACAAAACTTTATTGAGAACTACAGGAGATAGGAAGAAGTGGAGAGCCATGATCGCCTACGTCCTGAAGGGACACGGCACATAAAAGAAGAAGAATGTTGTTTCTACCCCTGTCTTAGTATTCTTAATATTCTGCATCTTTTCTCTCTGTTTACGTTCGCAACATCAGTTCTTCAAATATTTTCTTGTAAGTTAATATATTTTTCTGGATTAAATCCTTTTAATGTTTTCTTTTTCTCAAATGTCTTTTTATGTAATTCTTTGTTATGGTCCGGTTCCTTGTACCACGGTGATAGTCCAAGGTAGAACCAATAAAGAAGAACTCGAACACAGGTATGGAATAACACAGATATATTACAAACAGGAACATATAGAGAATTAGAAGTGTTAGTATGAACAAGCAGGTTCAGTAGAGAGAACAATGTAGTCTCGACCAGTATCACTATTCCAATGTCTTGCAGTAATTGTCTGAACGCCACACTCTTTCGGACTGCCTCTGACTCAACTCTTGACTCGACTTGAACTACTAAGTCTTTGCCCACTCCTGAGGCGCAGTATTTATTAAGTATCGAAGAGTCCATTATTATTATTATTATGGGTAAGATCCCATAACATTCTTAAAAAGATGTTTCTTTTTCTGGTCTTGCCAAAGTCTTCAATTTTTTTTTTTTGATTGTTCTCGGATCTCTGTTCAACTTTTTCACAATCTCCAACCTTCTATTCTCAAGACTTAATGTACTTTGTATTTTATCTCTCTTTTGGGGGTATATTTTTGTCTAACCCATGTCAACCTTTATTTTGTGACGTACGGTGGCCGTTAATAATTAAATATCACTCAAGACTTCAATGCTAAAATAAAGCAGTCTTTAATTACAACCGCAAATAAATACTTAACATGCACAAAGAAGTAAAAGTCAACCAAAGATTAACCATTTCAGTGAATACCTCGTTAGTAGCGCGGTTCGGCTTAACGCCCGGTAAATCCTAAAACAAAACCCAAATCATCGACTCACAATAATTCACACTAATTCGACTGGATAGTTCCACTCAATCGTTAGTCAATAACCACTGCAGTCAGTAGCCTGACACCGCTATTTATACACCTGGCGGAAAACATATATTCGTAAGTTCAGATTGTCACGATCGAACCTTGGTGTCGTTAGTTACTCATTTTCTTATATGATACTTTATATATATGAAATTAAAAATAAATATATATATATCAATAACTATTTTCTAATAATGATGTTCACCCTGTACAAGGGCCAAGTAGAGTGTTACAGAGTAAGAAGCAACAACCCTAGCAAGGAGATAGTACTTATTTATATTATTTTTTTACAGCAAGGTTCACCCTGTACAAGACCCCGGGGGGGAGGTCACTCGAGGTAAGGGGTTACGTTAAGGGGTAGTTTATATGGATAAGAGAAGAAGATAAGAACTCTAGACTTGAAAAGGTTAAAAGGTCTTGGGATTTTGTTCCACAGGGTAGTAGTTCGCGGGAAGAAGCTGTTTGAGTGGAACTTACTTCTAGCCGATGGAATATGAAGGGTGGTGTTGCTACTATGTAAATGACATGGCAGGACCTAGCCGTGATGGTTAGGCCTGGCAGGGCTAAGAAATGTAGTTCGTCCGAGCACTCTCAATGATAGTAGCGATAGAGCAGTGAGAGACTCTCCATATCCAGAGAGAGAGAGAGAGAGAGAGAGAGAGAGAGAGTTTGGGGGATGGAAAATTATTTTTATTATTTATTCGAATACTTGGCAAAATATTGTCTAATTGCCAATTGATTCAAACTATATAAAATGATAAATAATAAGGATTTCTTTATAGTTGGTTCACATATTTTAATAATTTAGTAAATGTTTATAAATAAATACAAATTTTCATATTTATTCCTTTATAAATTAATAAGTAATAAATATTGCATTTCATTAATTTTAATTGTATTAGTTTTTAGAATGTTGTAAATATAAAATTATTCTTTTAAATAAAGAATCTAATAAATAGCGTTAAATATTTTTCTTATAAATTCTCAAGAGCAAAAAATGTATATAAACTCTATAAATTCACTTTCATCATGTTTAGTTTTTATTCTAATCATCGCTTTTTAAAACAATATTGACGAAGAGTGAAGGTAGTTAAAATAATAACGGTGTCATGGGAAAAACAGTCAATTTGACACTACATCTTATTGAGGGCACGTTAGTCCAATGTTTGCCACAGAATATTTTTTAAATACAAAACTTTGCAAACCCTTTTTCAAAATATGTGAGCCAGTTTTGAATCTAATACTTAATAACTGAAGAAAAAAAAGTACTTAGAAAATATGCAGAGTTTTTATTTTATTTTATGTTTCTTTTGGCGTATCAACGATAAAATATTCAATGTCTGTGTAATTGAAAATTGCAGAATATTACGAAGGAATCAGATCCCCAGCAGGTTGCTTGACGCTGTCGAGTAGATAAGGGTGAAGGTCATATGAGTGAGAGTTGCGCGAGGCGGAAGAGAAGAGGATGCTGGGAAGGGGATTAAATTCCAGCAAAATGCTTTTTCCGACAGATTAATTACTACGTTTTCGTCATCGTCTTGTAATATAGAGAAAAAAATCGAAAAAGAAACAGAGAAAGAGATAGAGGAGGAGAAAAAGAAACAACGATAGAAAAGGAAGAAAGAGAAAGAGAGAGAGAAAAAGAAAGAAAATGCAAAGAGAGAGAGAGAGAGATAGAGAGAGATAGAATAAAATGAAGAGAGCATGCAAACGGTTTTATTAATGAATAAAACTTCATTAAAATTTGATTCTAATTATCGACAATTCAGGACCGTTAAAGACAGATAGCACTTAGGCAGCACGCAGACAGATTTGCTACGGTAAATAAAAACAAAACTCAATTGAGATTTATTGACGACATTGAGTGAGAAAACGAAACAAGATGAGAAAAAAAAATACGCAGAAACAAAACCGAAAGATAATTGTCGACTATGATTAGTTTTGGAGGAAAGAGACGTGTTGAATGAAATTTTCAACTGGCCAAGCAAGATGCAATAGCTTCTGGCGTCACGAAGTTGACATAAGATGAAATAATTAAATAAATGACACCCCATATATATATATGTACATATACCTATGTGCTCTCTCTCTCTCACACACACACACGCACACCACGCACGCACACACACACACTCACACACTAAGACACACGCACACACACACACACACACACATATATATATATATATATATATATATATAAACACACAGATACATGTTTTATTACTTAAACGTTATTTTTAGTGGATGTTCATATTTGAGTATATTTGCTCTGTTTAAGGGCCTGAATATTCGAGAAATATTAGAAATATATGCGCTAATATAGATAAATATACAGTTTTAAAAATAAACAGATCATCTATTCAAATGATGGCATTCACTAAAAATAACGTTTAAGTAATTAAATACACACACACACACACACACACACACACACACATACACATATATATATATATTGAGAGAAATTTTTCTCCAGTATTGTTCTTGATATATAAAAACATATATCATTATCTCTTATATATATATATATATATATATATATATATATATATATATATATATATATATATATATATATATATATATGAATTAAAAATGAAACTCAATTGTACCCTATTTTTATGGCCATTTCGCTCCTCGGGATAAATTCCCTGGAGTTTGTCAATACTAAAACGTTTGATAAAAAAAAAAAAACACTATGGAATTTATCCCGAGGATGGAAATGACCATAAAAATGGGGTACAATTGAGTTTAATCTTTATGTAATTCATTTTTAAGTTCTATAAATAAATATATTGAGCTCTCTTTTGTCGATCAGTTTTAATATTTCATATATAATAGGATTCCACTTAGATTACTTACCCACGGATTTTTACCGATATATATATATATATATATATATATATATATATATATATATATATATATAGTCATACAGGAAAAATTGGTAAAAACTGACACTGAGGTTCGAGCGTGACAGTTTGGACTTATGAATATATGTTTTCCGCCAGATGTATAAATAACGGTGTCAGGCTACTGACTGCAGTGATTACTGAGTGATTATTGAATGACATTGACGACATTGAGTGAGAAAACGAAAGATGAGAAAAAAAATACGCAGAAACAAAACCGAAAGATAATTGTCGACTATGATTATATATATACACACACAGATACATGTTTTATTACTTAAACGATCCAGCCGAATTAGTGTGAATTATTGTGCGTCGATGTTTTGGATTTGGATTAAGGATTTAACGGAAATTAAGCCGAGCCGCGCTACTAACG